CCTGACACATTGCTAGATGTCAATCAGGGACGGCGGATGTGAATTGACGATAAATTAAAAGGGTGTATTAATTTATCGATTTTGATTAGATCAAAATAATATTTCACGATGTTAGGCATCGTGGTCGGGAACCTAATGGGTCGCACACAAAAGAGAATTGGAAGACTGCAAATTGTTAATTGATTAATTTAACAATCGTTGGATAAATTAATTAATTGAATTTCTTATTTATAATCCCGAATTAATTAATTGGATTAATTAATTCATGGACCGGGTTTGATTAATTGGATTAATTAAATATTGGATCGGACCGGGCCGGGTCCGTTTGGATTTATATATATATATATGCAGTTAGGGTTTGAGGTCCATTAAATTATTCATTATTCTTGCTAGCACAAGAAAGAAACCCTAGCAGTTGCTGTCTTCTCTTTGTGTGGATTTCATTGGAGGCTGTACAATTGGACAGCTGTGGGAGGCAGATTCAAGCTGCTGGATAGGAATAACGCGAAAAAGTTTGCAAATCACACAAAAGGTATATTTCTCATCACAGTTTTTATCTAAATACAAAGCTGAATCCTGAATGGGAATTGAAGTTTGTTAAATTCCGCTGTGCATGTTTAAATCAATTCCCAACAGGTATTACTATTCAGGTTGTGTAAAGGAAATATGCATTCACTGAATATGCATACAAGATGTGTAGTAGCAAACTAAACAATGGCAACACTGTAAACGAGATAACTCAGAACCTATAAAGAAAGATAAGATCAGTTTTCTTTCTTCCTCATAATCTTCGCCAAGTCCGTCAGCAATGTCTTCCAGCAATTTGTCAGCAAAGTTGCCTTAATGAGTTGAAATTGATTGTATAAATCAATTAAAAACATTCAGATGAAGGTTTCAAACTTTGAAGCCAAGATGAATTTAATAATATTTAGACCCTCTTGCATTCTCTGGAAAATTTGTTCAGAATCCCCACAAGTTATCCATAGGAAAGTACCAGAATCTCAAAGCACTTCTCTGCAAATCTCTTCAGCCGCTTGATACAATCATCATCATTTTCCCCATCGCTCTGTTCCAGTTCTGCTGGCACTACCTAGCTCTTTAGGTGACTATATATTTCTACAATTTGTTCTCTAATATTTTCCTTACAAGGAGAGCAAACAATGGATCAAGAATCGATACAAGAATTGGATGAACCTCTTTCTTCTGATCAGTAGTCTCATATTGTGAAAATCTTCAATTTCAGCCACGCTTGTAGCAGTAGATCTTCTTGATGATTTATGGGGCAGAGCTGACTTTTGCAGACATAAAGAGAGAACTTTTCTGCATTTCGTCTGACTTTGAAAAGTCTGATGTAAGTCCAACTTTCTGGCTAATAGCATCAACAATGTTAAAAGCATCCCTTCCACCATAACTAGTTTTATTGTACATGACACACTCCTAAGAGCACAGCAGTCAACCCCGTTCATTAATATAACGATTCTGAGTTTGAACTTCACGTTCTGATATTTCTATTTCAGCTCCTTTTCAAATGCAACAGTGTTTAGATGCCAAATCCAGCTAAATGGGACAAGATCTTAAGAAAAATTCTTTTATGAACAATTACATTGTCAAAAACAAATAATCATATGAAATGTATATCATTACCTCAAGATTGCCATCGGTTTCAACAGCATGCTGCACGATTTTTCAAGAACTTAGCAATTGAAAATCTTACCAATAGACTTGAAGGAAGAGTAATGTTTTCTGCTTCTTTAGAGAGAAAATCACTATTCAGTATAGCTGGCTGAACATCATTTGTTGGTCCTTTTGCATCTTTAATTGGAGTTACAGCACGTACGAGAGAACATTTATTCGTCCAAATAAAACTTCTAGAACCAATATCATAGTGTGTCCATTAGCAATAGAATGTGTAATAAAACTGTCAATCCTAATCTAATTACCCGGCATCATCTGAATCAACAAAAACTTGGAACTTCGTAGTTTAAATTACCCCGTGATTCGAGAATTTTGCTGAATTCTAAAAAGGAGGCACAACAGACATTTGGTGGCAAGAAATGTCAGGCTCGTAAGAGTGCTACTAATCAAGAAAACTAAAGGCACGTTTGGTTTGTGTTTTATTTTTCAGTTTTGAATTTTGAGTTTAATTTTAGTTTTTGAATTGTTAAACACATGTTTGGTTTGTCATTTTGAAAAATTATTTCTCAAAACAAAAAGCTAAAAAAACGTTTGGTTTGAAATTTTTAAAAATTATTTTATAACATTTTATTCCAAAAAAATTTGATTATTCAGTAAAAATAGAAAATTTTATGTTTATAAATTATCAAGCAATATATATACATTTTAAATTTGGTGAATTTTACGATATTTTTTCCAACTACAAAAGTAAAATAAAAATAAATAATAAATTGAGTTAAAAATACGGATAATCAAAGTAAAAATTAATAACATGGACTCAGAATGTTTTTACCCTTGTTCATTTAAATATGTTTTTAGAATTTTATGTAAAGCTAGAACTATTTTTATTTTTTATTTTTCTGGAAAGTTTTAGAATTTTATTTTTTCAGATTTTTTTATTTTTCAAAGTTTGTATTTTTTTTTTAATTTAAAATTTTATTCTTTAGAATTTTATATTTTTATTTTTTAAAAAATATTCATTAAAATCTAATTTAAACGCCCGTTTTCATTGTTTTGAGTGTTTACAGAATTTTCACCGAAAATACTCAAAACGTAAAAAATGCTTTTCGAGTTTTCTGCTATAAATTTAACAGCATTTTCAAAAATATTAGATCAAACACGTTTTCAGTAATTTGCAAAATTGAAAACTGAAAATTACATTAAAACGGCAAACCAAATACCAAATGCACCATAAACTATTTGTCAGTCAGGCACACTCGAAGCTTTCCAAACAGTTTGACCACGGGGAGCATATGAAAGAGTACTTGGGAACTTTAATGTACACATAAATGTGTGCAGTTTAAATGGGGACATTGTTCAGCAACTAAATAATTTCAACAGAGCACAAGTGTCGGCTGCCTAAGAAATCTTCACTGCTAATCGTTAAATGTGAGGAAGCAGAGACCAGACCCGCAATAGGCATCTTCCATTCATCTCAATTTGGAAAATTCATTCAATAACTTAGTTATGCTTATAAAGAGTCCTGTCAAAACCAAAATAAATATATTTTCCGGAAAAGGCCATGTCAATATTTTTGCTTCAGTGTTATGCCATTTCAAGTTGCTCCAATTCCATCGTCTTAGCATCCATTAGTGAAAGGGTTTTCTAACAAGCCACATTGTTTCGTGGAGTGCTGATTCGACGAGTAAATATGAATACTGCAACAAAATCTAGTAGCCTTTCTTCGTATCAACTTTGCTCCATATAATTGGGTTAGTCTCTAAGCATTGTAAACACTGATGTGAAGTACCCTTTTCACGTCAGAGTGCATACAATATGAGTTTGACTGATTTTGAACTATTCTCAAACCAAATCAAGCTATTTTATCTTTTAAACAAACCAAATCAATTAGACCATTTTGAACGGTTTAAAAGTTTATTTTTGCATTCAATTCTATTAATCAGGGCTATTATGGGATTTCAAATTAAAAATAAGACGGCAGTTTTTTTGTGTGTCAACTAGTTGCGGCTGAAGTGGGACCGACTTATTGTGTATAACGTTATAATTATTGCTTAAAATCTGAGAGAATCGCTCCCAGATAGGGGCTTAAATTGAAACCTTCTGAACATAAACATAACAATACTAATACACACAAAATTGCGATTCCGATTCTGTTTGACGAATTGAAAGCTGTTTTGTTAACCCCTCCCTACTTGGAGCCTTCAATTTGAGGGGATGCTACATACATGTGGAAATAATTTCATAATATTCTCCGAAACAGAAATTCCATAATGTTCTCCAGGATATTTTTCTGATCATTTGAAATCATATACTTCTGATCGTTTGAATTTATATACCATCATCATTATTATTATTATTATTATTATTATTATTATTATTATTATTATTATTATAGCATGTTATATGCAATAATTCGACAGTGCTACACCCAATAAATGTAGGGGGAAAACAACAAAAATAGCATTAAATAGAAACAGATAATGACTGTGAGCACTCTTATTTCTTTGTATAGTTTCAATATTATCTTTCAACCGCCCCCCGAGACATAACCCAGTAGTACAAAGGAAAGGAGTGAGGTAGTCTCAGCCTTATTGACAGCTGCAGTATGAGGATTCGTTTCTTGAATATGGAATTGGACTTTTTGTGGGTACCAGTGTACGGGCAAATTCTTGTTCCTTGACCTGTTGGGACGTATTCCGCGATTTACCTCCCTCACAATGCTCCATGGATGGGACGGTGGGGGCTCTTAGGATTGGGGTTCAACCTTTAATATTACCTTTAAACCAAATTATATATTATTTACTTCATTTCATTCAATTAATTCAAATGGTAATTTTCTAATGCCATTGAAAGTATACAGCAAAACTTAAAATGCTTAGCGTGCTTTTTTGAGTCTTCTAAATCAATTTAGTGGTAAATACTGAGATACAACTTTCGTAAAAATGAGCTAATTATAAATAGACATGTAGTACATAAGGGTAAAAATGTAAATGGGATCATAGACCAATTCATTTAAAAGTCTAAGGTTTTTGAGCGTGGACAAGACCTACATACAAAGGCCGTATTCTTTCTTTTTGTACATTTTTGGTCAATGTCGAAAAAAACTTTTTGATAAAAACTTTTAAAATATTTGATAAAAGTAATGCAATGTGTGATTAAAATTAAAATTTGACTAGTTAAAAAGTTAATCTATAAATAGATGATGACAAGACTTGAACTCAAATATAGTGATCGACTAGGTGGCTCGGCCAATATTTAGCAATGTTCGACGCGCTGCACGAAATTTTGCATCAATGTTTATGCTTCATTCCCAAAAGTTAACGGAGGAACCTTTAGATGGTGGAAAGTGGTAGCAATTACAATTCCATTGTTGACTAGTGAAAAGCGAGCAGTTCTTTGGGGCCTGAAAGATTTATCTTTATTGAAGGACCACAATTATGAAATGATTTTTTGTAATTTGTACATGAACAGTCCTAATCTCAGATTGAAAATCTAGCAGACTTTGCAACTAAATGTAAATTGTCTTTATGAGAAACCAAAAAAAAAAAATAATAATAATAATAATAATAAATCCTATGTGCCCTAACAAAATTGGAACCTATATTTAAATTACATCCACAGATACCATTATCAGTTAGCTTGTGCTATCAAATGAAGAGATAGAGTGTCTTGCCCCCCTCCTCCCCCAATAGATTTTTATTGATATTATAAAATATTTTTCTTTTTCTAAGTTTTTCGTGAGTTATAAAAATGTCGCAGAAGGAAAACTAACTTTTTCTTAAAAACCATGGGAAATTTAATATTTTAAGTGTACAAAAATGGCGAAACATTGTTTTACTTTTAACTTTTAAACTCAGCCAAAAATGTTTAAAGTTTAAATGTTACTTTAAGTAACTTTCTTTTGTAGACATGTTTGGTTTCATTGAAAGTTGCAATTTTTAAGAATTTAGTTCAAAGGCTAATTTTGTTAAACTTAAGTATTTATTTGCATTTTCGAAGGCGTCTTTCTTTTAAGATTTAGCTAAACCATAATTTTCTCTTCCGCAAATTATGAATTTTTGATGTATTATTTTGTAAAAAATATGAGGCAAAATTCCACACAAATATTACCGTTTAAATAAGTTTTTAAAATTGACTACTTATAAAATTTATCTCAACAATACATATATACACATGAGGGGCACATTTAAATTTAAATTTAAGTATTATATAAATATCGTACATATCAAATAGTTTAGATTTTTAGATTGAGTGGTTCAAAATCCAAAACATGCATAAATAATAAGTCGTACCATATTTTCTAACAAAATGAAACAGTTTCCGCACCTATAAGAACTTTATGAAGCAAAACAAGAGATTGAACCAATGATATATATCACCCCTTGAAATAACATTGTTCTAATTAATTAAGAAACAAAAAGCAATCCAAAAACTAGCTACCAGCCATTACAGCAAATTAGTTTGATTGTATATCTAATCCAAGTTGCAGATAAATTATCCTAATCCAGCCAAATCATAGAGTAGTTTCAGTAATCTCTTGATTCTAGTCAAATTAGATAGATATCTCTTCAACATAGCACAATATAGTTCGTCAAAATCCGGGACTATCCAGCCAAATCATGCAGCAGTTGTGCATCCATCAAATTTCTGTATGGCAGATTCTGGTTTTCATTATCCAAGAATGAGTATTGTACTGTTTGACAATCTTCAATGTGATCTCTAGGGTAGAAAAGTGAGTTTTGGGAGGCTGGAGAAAATGCTAAGCTCACCCCAACACCACTCTCATGGTGTAATCCCAATGTCAATGACACACCACCACCGCCGCCGCCACGGCCACTGCCACTACTGCTGCCGACGTAATCATGAGCCGCGCTGGCCCCACCTGCTGAATGATGATTGTAAGAGAAATCCAATTCCATAGCACCAAATGATGAGTCATCCACCCTACCAAAACTTTGGTGCTGGTGCTGGTGCCGATCATTTTGAAGGGTTTTACTCTTTTTGCTATCATTTTTCTCTGGATTTTTTACAATTGAAGAGAGACACTCGGAATCGATTCTCGCAAGTTGATCGTGGTTCGGCTTTTCGTCTATGTTTCTCAAAGAATTCAGTTGATTATCATCAAGGTTGGTTACAGAATCATCATTCATGCCCTCCTGTTCTTTTAGTTCTTCTAAATACATTTGTTCCACCATTGGTTTCCATAGTCTCACCCTAGCATTGATGAACCAATTAGACACCTGCACAACAAATTAAAAAAATCATTTAGCTTCCTTGACAAGAAAACAATATCATGATTAAAATATCCTCAATATTTTAATGCCAAAAATGTTTTTAAAGAATATCTGTTCTTGATTACATAAATTAATTCATGGGCTTTGATTTAAATAATATTTGGAAGAGTAGGACTTGCCTGGCTTCTTGAGAGTCCTGTTTGGCGGGCTAAAATGTGTTTATCTACATCACTCGGATACCTGCGGGTTGCATTAAAATTCACATGTACTTTTTACTTCTTCCGATCATAACGAGAAAAAAAATTAAATTTATATTTAAATGGACTATAGAGAGTACTGGGAACGAGATGGGACCTATGGAAGTTGTAGCAGAATCAAATCCACACAAATATTACAAAACGTGCCAAGAAAATATCCCAGAAAAAAAATGAAAAATATACTGCTGTAGGCATTGAGCATTGGACTCTTAATAGTGGTGGGGAAAACTAACAAACATTGGCTCGTTCTGCATACTAGTTATCGAGACAAACATGCACAAACCTTGGTACATAGAACAGAAAGTGGGAAGTTTCTTTTTTGTTTGGAGAATACATTAATGGTTCTTTCAAGAAATCTAGTTCGTAATAAACCTAAATATGTTCAATGTTAACACTTCGTGCTTGTTTGGCCATATTAGTTAGGAACTACCCAAGAATTGAAGGTAGAGGTAAGGAATTTACGGGTGGAGGAAGTGCTCGAAAAGCCAAGCACGAAGAACAGTAACCGATCTTTCGGGCAATCCTCGTTGAGGTCTCCATGGATGGCTTTCCATCATGTTCATTTGCCGGAATGCACTTTGTTGCCTTAAAGTTTGATCAAGAAGTCTAAGTCTTGGTGTCTCCCCTTTCGTTGTGCCCGGTGCAGCAGTGTCCTTTTCACCCATTGCTTTCATGGTGGCCTTAATCTGCCCAACAATTCCATCTCTTAAACATCTAAAATGCCTTGACATGGCCTTTGAAGCTAGGGCAGAATACACTGTTGCAGCCCCATTTCCAGCCACTGCTTCAAATGATGATACCACAGCCTTCATCTGGTCACAGTAGTGCTTGTACCTTCTATCCACCTACACATACCAATGAATATAACAGTGAAAAGAAAAAAGTGATACAAGATTGTAAGTTATAGCATAAAATATGTACAGAATCAAGTAGTAATTGTATATTTTTTGTAAGAAAAGAGGGTTCCAAATTAAATGGAACTGCTGGATTGTCGCCACGTGAGCATTAGTGGATGAGCCTGAGAAACTAGGTGAATCAACAACCCTTAAAAGTTAAAATTGTGAAATAAAGCTTACTTTTATCTTTATAATTCATATTTGGTACTGTGTCTCGATTATTTTCCGTTCATATGGTTTTTAACTGAAGAAGATAGTATGGATTAAGTAAAGAAATCTACCTCATCTAGGAGTTGAAGCAACTTGGTTTTTCTTTTCTGCAACCCGAGGAGATCAAGAGAATACAAAGATTGCCTTTTTATGATATTCTCATCATCCAATACGTTGTTCTTCTCAATCTTTTGCTTTGATGGATTCACAGAGTGTTTTGTACCAAGATTACAGAACTCATTAAGAAGATCTTGAGCAGGAGCCAAGTACTTTGAGTTCCTAATATGAAAGTGTTGTTGAATATTCACAGAACTAGAACTTGATGGACCAAACCTTAAATCATCTTGATGTCCAACATCAAAAGACTGATGAATCCCAGTACCTCCAGGATTTGATGAACTCAAAGAGAGTGACAGGCGCCTTTCATTTCCTTCACCAGGAAAAATACACCTCGAAGATGGATCATCCACCATCAATCTATTCTGATTATTCCAAGCTGATGAAGAATCCAACAAGTTCTCATTTGTCGTATCAGATATACCTGTTAAATCATGGCTATAGAATTCACTTGTTGATGTGGGCTTGGATGACGACGCACGACCGACCCCGGGCTTGTTGAAGAACTCCTTCCACAAAACTGAGGTGTTTTCATTTTGTTGATGCAGATTCTTTGATGGAAACCCTATCATTTCCATTCCAGCAGTCAAGTTGTAGATCTCGGAATTATGCTCAAATTGTTGCAACTGACTAACCAGATGAGTCTGAGTATTTGGATTTCCAGTTGAATAATCATGATTAGAATAACAGTATCCAGTAGATGTAACCATTTCCCCGGTTTTCTCTTCACCACTTTGATCCGCCATACGTATAGACCTTAAATCTTCTGGTTTTTGTACCTTCTTCTTTATCTGGATTTTCTTGGTTCTGTTACTGAGAATCAAGAAAGACCCACCCCATAAATCAGAAAAACAACCTTCTTAGCCAAAGTTCAATCTATCAAACAAAAAATTATCCATATGGGTGTTCTTTGAGAGAGAGAAAGAGAGAGATGAATATGAAAGAGTGGACTATGTTGAGATGTTTGTGTTAACCATATGTGGAGGTTAAGGTGGGTTTGGGAGCGAGGGTGGATGGTTGAGTGGGGGGGGGGGGGTTAATTAACTTAAATTTAAAGTAAACATATTTTTTTTAAAAGTAACAAATTCTTAGTATGGCCTCTCCTGATCTTTTATGTGTTTTCAATTTGATGTATTATTTTCAATATTATTAAGAAAATGTTGAATGGATTGATTATGAAGATGTTGTAAAGGTTTCGACCCAATTGAGACATTCAGGTCGAACCTTTTTATTTAAAAGATCTGATTTTGTTGTTCATGATTGATCTACTAAAAGAAATATTTTTAAATTTACTAATTAGTGAACTTTATAACGTGAGGGAAACATGCTAGGCTTGTTTTTGTTTCTAACACTTGTGCCCGTAATAACCCAACCATGAAGCCAATCTAGGAAGGAAGATAGAGAAATAGGGGTTGATGATGACCCATAGTTTGATCGTTTGATTTGATCTCTCTCGTTCATGTGAGTCAATGTAAATACATACAAAATAAACTTCGTACAAAATCTGCTCAATTATTACGTGCTCCCACCAATCAAAAAATAATATTAATAATACTTGGAACCATCCAAGAATTTGAAAACTTAAAATATGGGTTGGTTTTAAATCATTGAAGGAACAATCATAAACTTATGGATAGATACAAAATATGTGTGTAAGTACTGATAGGTTGAATATCCCTATAGCTGGAGTTAAAACTCTAGTTTTTGCAGGCTTTTTCAGATGGCCTTTAACTGTTTCAAACTAGTGTGGGGCTGATATTCTGATCAAATTTGCTTTCAACACAGAGCTTTGGGTAGAAGAGAATGTGTGTTGTGTGTGAGAGAGAGATTGGAATTAGATGCAAAATTTTGTGTAGGGTTGAGATGAGGTGGTCCAATATTTCCATCTAATTTTAATTAAATCGACCCCTTATTAAAAGCCCTCCACCAATCTCTCCCTCCTAAAATGGGACCAGCATCTTCTTTTTCCAATTTTCTCCATACACTGCCAAAAGGTACAACATTTACCCTTTTTGAGAAAATTTTCGAAATGGAATTTATACCACCTGCAAAGTGAAATAACTTTTGGATTTAGAAATTTACATTTAAAATATCTCAATTTTCTTTTCTCATTATTGACGTGTTTGATCTTGTTTAAAGGTCTTTTTTTTTTTTTTTTTTTAATTTTTGAATTTTTGGATAGCATGCTTATGTGCAATTAGTCATAGGAAAATTTTAATTGTACATAATTTTTACACATAATGGTATTCATAATGTGATGTGGCAATCATCCGATTGTTGATGTGCAAGTGTGAAATTTGAATTAAAGGTTGGATCTGATATCATGTGTAATTATGGACACCACTATGTAGACAATTATGTACATGTAGCACTTCCCTTAATCATATGCCTAGCAAACTCCCCCACCCATGTGGACCGATAGGATTTTCATGTGTTGTACGTTACCTATACTATTAAATGTCCATTAATGATATCATTATGTGCAAGTATTGTCGTTGTGTCCTACTTAAAGTATTGTGTTCATCTATGTCGAGCTTGTTGGTCATGTGGGTGGAAGGCTAACTCAAGATGATGGTATCTTGTCTTGGAAAATCCAGATTATGCACGAACAGTTTGTGTCAAATGGTATCAGACCTAAAAGATGCACTGGGAAGGTTGTCTTCTTGTTCCCAAATCAGTTTAAATTGATAAGAACTCAGTCATAACTCATATAAACTTTAATCCAATCAAAATTTACAATATTCTATCAAAATCGACCCCAATTTTTATACTGGTCAAGCACTAAGGCATTTAGGTAGGTTAGGAAGATCACTTGCGCTTATCTCAATAATTGTCAATTATATGGTCTACCAAGATATAGAGGCATCAGGCATGCTTATTATTGATATTGTTATGTTTGTGACTCAAATTTCATGTGATTTGAAGGTTTGATTCATTGAGAAAGCCTAGATAATGTTGGTTTGGAAGTCCAGCTTCATAAGAGATCAAATTTTATTAAGGATTGACAGTTTGATTGGAAGGAGCACCTTGGAATGGATGAAAAACAAGTTTGGGAGCTTGGAACAGCATTTGGGTGCGAGACCAATGCGCCAGCAGGAAAATTAAGAATAGGAAGCAAGCGTCGCTGTTTGGGAAGAAGTTGATTTTACCGCAATTTTTGTATTTTACTTCATTCATAACCCAAAATTTGGCTCCTATATATACTTCATGAGGTGTAGACTCTTCATGGGCTCAAGATAACGGTTAGATCATTGTTGTATACATTAGAAAATTGAGAGAATTGTTTAAATTTAGATTGAGAGAATTAAATTTAGAGCATGTTTGGTAGGGATTAAAAGTCAATTAAAATCAATTTTTTGATTGTTATTTTTTTATTATAGCCGTCATTTTTGAATTCTTCTCTTACATGTAGGATCCACTTTATCTCTAATGTAGATCAAAAAATCAATTAAAAAAATTCCTACCAAACAAGCACTTAGTAAAAACAATTTTAGTTTCCTAAAAATCTTGTTTATTGTGTGATCCATTATTTTTCATATTGCTCATATTTTCTCGTTCTTTAATTACTTGGCCCGGTTCTTAATAGATACGCTAACAATATATTTGTCCGAGTTTAAAGGTCACTCGTAAGTCTACTATTAAACTGAAAATTGTGTCCCAATGTGTATCATCTAACATTCAAAGCAAGTCATGCTTTGATTGATCAATCTTCGATTCTAAAGCATCAGCACGTGTTAGATCACGCCACTTAGGCACTAGGACTAGGTGCGGGATATAGAATCTCTTCTTCTTATAAAATGGAATGGTGGTGATGTAGTCACGCGCAAATCACGTGTGTGGACCTTTGAATTGATACACCTTTATTTTTTTGTCTCTTTAAAGGAATGTGGTCCGTCCTCCATTATATAATATATACACACCTTATCTTATATACACTAAAAGACATCAGCCCCAAAATATACACTGAATTTTCTTGCTTGGAATTTTTTACGGAAAATTTTATTTATGTAAATTGCCGTGAATTGCAGGCTAAATAAAAACCAGCATGGGTGTCCCATTTTGAATCGATTTGACAACTTAGATCAAATTCGAGCCGATTCTCTTTATTTATTGAATTTTCGAGCTAATTTTTCAACACTTTATATGTCTGAAAGGACTAAATCAGGTCAAAACCAACCCGACTTATTTTTTCTTTCTTTCATTTATGAAGAATGAACACATATAAAATAAAAAAGGATGATTTTTGATCATTTGGATTCTATTTTTTGAAAATTAGACCTTACCTACCTCTAGTCCATGTATGTCTCGTAAATAAAATTTCTTCGATCTCTTACCTACATGTATTTATCTTGTATATTTGTTTTATATATGTATAATATACACACAGAGAGAGATACATAATACATAAATGATACATTTAAAAGAGAAATGGTAGGATTATATAGAGGTGCAAATACTTCAGGTGAAAAAAGGAGGGTTTTGTCAAATATAAGTTCGTTGAAACTTGTAAATAGCAGGTGGTTAAGCAGTCCTAGAGTTTGAAAAAGATAACAAGGGTAGGGTTAGGTGGTCCATTTGTCTTGTGGACCATTCTACAATCTCAAATTCATCAAATAAAACAGTAACATTACAACAAGTGACTCATCCTTAGGAACTGAGCTTTTTGTTATTGTATAAGTGATACTATGTAATACAAATAGTGGACTATGATGGTCAATCAAGCGAAAGTAATTGATCGACTATTGCAATGGTTGACCGACTACCTCGATGACCTATCGATTATCATGTCGGTCGACTGACTACCACTATGATTGTTAGATTACCACTATAATAAACTTAATTCATCAAGATAGACTGAATATCACAATGATCGTTCGATTGTCACGATTGATTGATCGATCGACTGACCACTAAGTGGCAGACCACTAGGAAGTTCGATCGTCTACCATGACTCCCAACTACTTGGACATCCTTCTAATTGATTGAAAATTGCCAGATGATTATCACCGATCCTTTGAACCACTTAGTCGGCGGAAGTTGACCACTAGGTAAGTGGATGAAAATGGTCTAGTGAGTGGACGTCGACCACTAGACACATGGATGAAAATGGTCTAGCGGTTACATGGTTTTAAGCACTTATAAATACTTCAAAGACGTGACAATTATTAGGGAATTTTTTTTCCTTTCACAATACTTTTCTGGCTCTCTTTCATGTTCGTTAAGTCATTCATCATCCACTTAAACTGCATCACTAATTCTCACACCAGAAGTACAATGGGAAAGATGGTCCTAGCATCTTCTTGCAGGTGTTTCATTATTCATCGGAGTAGTAGAAGTCGCCATGCTCCGCTAAGAAAGTTGAAAGGCTTGCATGCATATGTGGAATTAAATCAATTCCAATGATATTTCGGTTTTGCAAATCAATTGAGTTTATTAATGATTACGGTTAGGAATAATTAATTGCCTAGTGAATGTCTAATTAATATTGCAGTTAGTAATTGCCATGTAAGTTGAATGATCGTGTAAGGCTGTGATCATTTGTAAATTTAGTTAAGAGCAATGTCTCAACGATTGCAGTATTAATAAACTTAATAGAGTTTATTTTATTTTATTTCGATTAGGGCTTTGTGGTTAATTACGGTAAGTTTTTTTTATTATTTCGTTTAATAACAAAATGCTTTTTGTAAGGTCCTTTAGGGTTGGTTGAATTTTTATAATACCGTAAAACAAAAGAATTATTCTTCGAACCCTTACGATCAAGGTTGATATTCTGAATAAGCGTTTAAGATTTCTTTTTTACGCTTCCGTCAGCATCGACATCTTAGTTTGTTGGTATAATATAGAAAAAATTGCACCAGCGGTCCCCAGCATTTTTATTTTTTACAGAATTTACTCTAACTTTCATTTTATGTCAGCGAAGGTCCCCAACCTTTCATAAATATGCACCTGATATCTACCGGGACGGAAAACTGTCCAAAACACCATTAGTTG